AGGGAGTTTTAGGGAGTGCTTTTCTCCTTGGTGGTCCCCGTGGTGTGGATGGGGACCTCGCTGTCTGCCTGCCCCCATCTTTGCCCTCTCTGTATTGGGGGGAAAAGGGGCTTTTTGCCCCACCTGTGAGGGCTGGGGATGCCCGTGCCCATCGGTGCGTCCCCAGGCAGGGACATGCCCCATGGGTCTGGGGCAGCATCCACTCACCTGAGAGGCTCAGACCTGGGAAGTTGGTGTTGAGGTGCTTCAGGATCAGCAGGTCCTTGTCGCTTTGGATCAGTTTGGCCGTGGAAGCCACCTGGTCATCAACTGGAAGGCATGGGGAGAGCAGGGTCCCCCGTTGGGGAGTGACACCCCGTGCCGGGGCTCAGCCCGGGCAGAGCCGGCAGCACGGTGGGGGCTGCTCATCCCCTTTACCCTGGGAGACTCATCCCAATGGGGACCAGTCTGGTCCCACAGTGCTGCCGTACCCATTGCATGGGGTGGAAGAATTTTTTTCCCCCCACCTCCAGACATGCTTTTAGGTGTGAAATGGCCTGGTGCCAGGGGCTCAGGGTGCCAAACAGTGGGGGGGAGAAGTGGGAGGGTGGGAGGTGCGGCTGCGGTGTGTCTCGTCCGCCCCCCCATCCCGGCCTCACACCACGGACCAGGCTTTACCATGCGCCAGGGTGGAGTTGTGCCAAAAGACCAGGATCTTGCTGGTGTTCTTCACCACGCACGTCTCGTTCCTGTGGGGCAGAGAGGTCAGATGGGGCAAATACCCCCCAAACTGCCCCAGCCAAATCCGAGGGATTCAGAACTCGAGCTGGGCTGCAGAGCTTAAATAAATTTGGCATAGCTGCTCTCCAGCCCCAAATTTGTCAGGGTGTCTCAGCCCGGAGGATGGTACCAGCGGGTGGAAATGCCCCTGGGGACGGGGGAGCCGGGCGAGGGGGAGAATCCCCGTCCTTACAGTCTCATGATTTCGGTGACGTTGAGCTCGTCCTCGTGGCTGCCAGGAGAGAAGGAAAAAGCTGCGTATTTCACCGCCTTCAGCTCTTCCAGGTGAGGCGGGTACCTGGAGGCGCCGGCGATGTAGATCCAATGTCCCAGGAGCTGCGGAGAGGAGGGGAGCGGGGAAGGGTCGGGGTCTGTGCCGGCTTCACCCGCCGGCACCACGTGAGTAAAAGCAGATGCCGTGCCCTGCCGTCCCACGCCCACGAGCACCCCCGGTAGGTGACCGCCCCGGGCAGGATCCGGGCCGGGTGAGGGGCTCTTGGTTTTGTCCCCTCCCCAGTAAGGCGATGCTCCAGCTCCCAGGATGGCCAGCTTGTTTTTCTACGGTTGCGTCCCTCCTGCTCTGTGCCCGGCTTTCACTGCTTTCCTCCCATTAAACATCCCCAAGGGACTGAATACTGTTTATGCAGAGAAGGGTTTTGCGGATGGAGACTTGTGACCTGAGACCCCGTCACTTGAAGGACTTAAAATAGAGCGGCGAAGCACTGGGGACGGTGCTGCCCAGCCTGGTTTGCACAGGGAGATGGAAGCAGGAGCCCCCCAAAAGCACCTGCTCATGAGTTTATGGGTGCAGAGCTGCAAGGCTTCACCCCGTCCCCATGCTCCTGTGCAGCAGTCTTGATTTTTTTAGGAATAATAAGCATGGACAGGCAGTGAGATAAGAGTCAAGCTGCCGATTGGGTTCATAACCTCTTCCTGGACCCGTAACTGCTAGCGATGCTGATAGGAAAGGCGAGGATGGGCGCCCCGGCTGAGGGCAGGGCTTACCCCAGGGATGGTGGCATTGTCGAAGGTGACCGGGACGAGCGGGGCGCAGCTGGGGGGCTCGGCAGCAAGGGCGAGTGGCAGCCCCAGGAGGAGGGCGAGAGAGGCCAGCATTGCCTGGCCGGCGGAGAGGAGTCTCGTGCTCTGACGGGATGTGGCTCGGCTCCGTCCCTTATATACAGCCGCCTGCAAAGCTGGACGTCCCCAGCCCCGACGTGCTTGTTCAGCCACTGGGCTGTTTGCTCAGGCATGAAGCAATAGCAGGTGGAGGAGATTAAGCTTGCAAAAGCTTGGATTTCTCCAGCAGAAAAGACCAAAAAAACCCCCCAACCCCACGTTTCGCCAATACAGGCTTTTGTTCTCGGAAACTGCAATTAATTTCGTGGGTGCCTGGCAAAGCGCTTGGCTGGCTCCAGGTGTGTTTGGGGGCCTCGGGGGCGCCGAATGGCAGCTGGACGTGGCTTTCCTCCACAGATTAATTTCGTGGGTGCCTGGCAAAGCGCTTGGCTGGCTCCAGGTGTGTTTGGGGGCCTCGGGGGCGCCGAATGGCAGCTGGACGTGGCTTTTCTCCACAGGGCAAATAAATCCCCGCGGTGATGGTTGGGTGGTGGCTGCTCACCCGCGGGCTGTAAGGGCTTCAGGTCTGCACCGGCATCGCTTCTCGCCGGGGC